GAGACAACAGCGAATATATACTTTTTAAAACATGGAAACTTGGAGATAATAGCACAATTTATTGGGCTGCAGATCTTAGAAAACTAGGTAGACACCAAGAAGCCGAAACATGAAAAGAAATGCCTGTGAGGAAGTTGATGAAAGGGATCTTGCTGGGTGACTTAACAACCCAATGGCTAAGGACTTTTTGAGACCTACTATAATTGGTTAAATTTTGATTACAAAATAAGATTATAGACTGTTTTTATATTTCACTACAAAAATTTGGGGACAGGTATATCAATCACTGGACGGGGTGGTTAAGGTTTTCCAACACTGTCATTAGCTGAAGTGTTCTGCTTTTTCTTAAAAGGAAAACTAAATACCCTTCCAGGAGGCCTGGGTTTCACTGCTTTTAATTTAGGCAAAATTTAGTTATAAAAGCACAAAGCAGAGACTGCCTGGGGAGTCCAGGAAAGCTTTCTGGAAGCTGTGTGCTTGAAATCAGACAGGGGCTCCCACTTAGAAAGGGCATACAAGACCCCCCTGGAACCCCCCGGCTGGCTGCATGGCCATCCACGTGATGACTGGCAGCACACACTCCTCTCCGTGTCCTGACACACAATGTTGTATCGCTCCACATTCTGGGACCTCGGTTTCCTCACCTGTAAAGGGAGAGAGGGCCGTACTAGTGAAGCGCCTTCCAGTTCTAAAACAGATTACACGTATGACTTTAACAGGATATTTCTATCTTGCCTTCCAATAAAATACACTAAGGAAAGAGCTCAAGGACTGCTTTTTTTTCTCATCACCTTTGACTTGTGTTAGAAGCAGAAGCAAATGCTTTTGTGATTAAGCGTTTCTTCTGGTTTGGAACTGGGCTGAATGTTACTAGTGGGACTACAGATGGTGGGGACCCCTCCCACACACGCCCCAAGGCTTGCTAGGGCTACTCTGAAAAGTGATTTGAAAAACACAAGGTTTTTAACACATTTAAATCATAACATTAAAACAGCGTACATGGAATTTCCTACCCTTAAGAAGCCTTATATTCCCACAGCACCTACTTCTACATACCTTATGGACTCAAGCAGATGACAGTTAACTTTAATATAAAGACACGGAGAGTAGATTGTAGAGAATATTCTACCAAGCCTCGCTGGAAGCCCCATAAATTTAGATTTCTGTATTTGATCTATGCTGGGATTTAAACTTGGAGAATACAGAGCTGACTCAATTTCTGTACATCTAAATAATGTTTTCTCCAATGATACCAGGTTATTCTTAAGAGGTTCTCATTCACTCAATAATAATACTGCTTAATATTATGATAAAATAGTACGATGGTTAATAGCTGTGTGGTGGCTCCCGGCTGTAACCCTAGCACTCTAGGAGGCCAAGATGGGAGGATCGCTTGAGCTCAGGAATTTGAGACCAGCCTGAGCAAGAATGAGACCCATCTCTATAAAAAACAGAAAAATTAGCCAGGCATGGTGGCATGCGCCTGTAGTCCCAGCTACTACTGGGGAGTCTGAGGCAGGGGCATCGCTTGAGCCCAGGAGGAGTTTGAAGTTGCAGTGAGCTCTGATGATGCCACTGCACTCTAGCCAAGGCGACAGAGTGAGACCCTGTCTCAAAAAAAAAAAAAAAAAAAAAGCAAGCTGCTGGATATTTTACCACGTGCCAGGCACTATTCTTCTAAGTGCCCTGCATGCATTGAATCAATTCCCTGCCAGCACCCCTAAGCCTACAGATGAGGAACAGAGGGACAAAAAGAGATGAAATAACTTTCCCAAAGTCACAGTGTCAGAATTGGAATCCCAGCCTTCTAACCCCACAGCACACTTGTATAACATGAACTCTAGATGGCAAATGTATCTAGCACGGAATACCGTGCTGGGTGATCAAGGATGACTAAGACAAGCACTTGGTTTACAGGCAGTGGAGTCTGCCAAACATATAAAAAATAATTACAACATGATATGTATGCTGTAACGGAGGCCTTTAAAAATTGCTATGGAAACAGAGGAGGAGAGAGAGGTTGCCAGGGGAGCTCAGCGAGGCTTCCACTTGATCCTTGTGCTGAAAGATGAGCAACATTCCTGGCGTGCAGGAAGGATGGAAGGGCATTCCAGGTGGAGAACAGGAGGTGCCCAGGTACATAAAGGTGAGTGAGCTCGGGGAATTCAGTGTGGCAGAAGGGAGGGAAAGGGAGGGGACAGCACAGGGGAGGTTTTACAAGCTTGCTAATTGGACCCCTCGCTGTACCCATTCTTCTAGGCTGACAGTGGCCAGGAAAGCACGGTGCACTTTCCAGTTACCTCCTGAAGTGGTAACATCTGATACAGTTTGAGGGGTTTTTTTTCCTTCTGAAATTCACTTCCTGAGTCAGGAAGACTTTAAAATGCATATAATCCTGGGGTGCAAATAAAGATATAATAAACAAACCAATCAACTGCATTGGTGATCCAGGATGGTACAGAGAAAGGGAGGGACAGTGACATGGGCCCGATTCGGAAATGCCATGTATTTTTAAAGCCTAGGTTTGTGGCCCTGAAGGGGTTATGAACAAGGGGGAGGGGGGGAGAGAGAGAGGGGGAGGGAGGGGAGAGAGAGGGAGGGAGAGAGGGAGGGAGGGAGAGAGGGAGAGAGGGAGGGAGGGGGAAAGAGAGAAAGGGGGAGAGAGAGAAAGAGAGAGAGAGAGAGAGAGAGAGAGAGTGTGAGTGTGTGTGTGTGTGTGTGTGTGTGTGTGTGTTTTTTTTTTTTCTAGGGAGGGTGCCCACAGGTTTCACCAGACTCTCCAAGGGATCAATGACCCCGAAAAACATTCACGATCACTGCTTTTAAGCAGGCTGGGAGCCAGACCTCCATGCAACCTCTAACACCTAGAGCAACCCTAAGAAACAGTAAGCAAAAAAAATACACTGCAACCAAAATGAGAAGGTCCTCCCTAGCTCCCATGTGCTCCGGCTTTATCTGAAACTATGAAAAACGAGTTAACCTCAGACTCCGTTCAAAAGCCTTTCAGATATCTGAGATAGTCATGTTTGCCTAACTTTATTCAGGTCCTATTACACAAGCCCGCCACCTATTCAGTACCCCAGATGTTCATGGTTTGCAGATAAGATATTCACCCTCCAAGGTGTAATCTAATTCTAAGGAAAGTCTTCTCTCTAAATAGTGAAAAGAGAAGGGAAATGGAGGAAGCTGGATCCACAGGCCAGGTACTTAATTAACTTCCCTAAACTAATATTTAAATGAAAATTTAAAAATAAACCACATTTTAGTGAAATTCACTTTAATTTTCTACCACAAGATTTAAAGGATGACAGGCCCCCGAGGAAAAATAATCACTAAGGAGTCCGAAGACAAGAAATCTTATTTACAGATGGACAATTTGGCCCCCTGGTGGAAAAGGAACATTTACCCAGCATCCACTCACATCCTCCCATCTTAGGGCTCCAGCATTGCCATGCTGTCCCCTTTAAAGCACTGCACAAATCAAGAGAAGGTAAGTAACTTTTCACGAAAGACAGCATGCGCAAGAAACCGTCAGGCATTTGGCATGGTAGGCAGCAAGGAGTAAAATGGTGGCTAAGACCATCGGACTGAGCATGGTGGCTCATGCCTGTAATCCCGGCACTTTGGGAGACTGGAGGTGGGAGGATACCTTGAGGCCAGGAGTTTGAGACCAACCTGGGCAACATAGCAAGACCCCATTTCTACACAAAAAATTAGCTGAGCGTGGTGCTGTGTGCCTGTCATCCCAGCTACTTGGGAGGCTGAAGTGGGAGGATCACTTAAGCCCAGGAGTTCAAGGTTACACTGAACTATGAATGTGCCACTGCACTCCAGCCTGGGCAACAAAGTGAGACCCTGTCTCAAAAACAAACAAAAAAACCCACCATTGCTAGAATCAGCAGCTGCCTGGGTTCAAATGCCATCCTTGATCAAACTGGAGCTGTGTGAGCTAGGGCAAGTTACTTACCCTCTCTGTCATTTCTTCACCCATGAAATGCAGATAAATCAGAGTTGTACCTCCTCATAGGATTGTTGTAAGACGTCAGTAAGTCAAAAATGTTTAGAACAATTATCTGGAATATAGGTAAAAGTGCTTGACAAATTGTATGCTAATTGTTACCAAAATTCCTTGGCTAAGAAAAGTAGCTATTACAACAAAACTGGTAGGTGAAGAAGAAGCATGTTCACTAACAGGCTGTATCTGTCTAATGTTCCATTGTGAAACAGAACACCAAAAATAATCACTATGCTGCAAAGTTTAACTGTCAATGGAGGGAAAAATATTAAGCAATCAACAAATCAAATTAAGGAGCTAATAAATGAGCTTCTACCACATGCTAAGCATTGCACTAAACGTTGGAGGATAAATTATTCTACATATAAAATATATATTTAAATCACAGATACAGAGAACATCAGGAGAAGAGGGCTCATGCTATATACCCTGCAATATACTGAGGAACCTAGCCTCAGCTTTTGAAGGAAGACAGGAATTTCTACAAAAGTAGTAATACCAGAGTGAAGAATTAATACTTAATAGTGGGCTAACGCTAACGTGTGGGGGGGTGTATTTACTGGGAAAATATAATGCAGGAGTGTCAAAAAGTTTGGAAATAGAACAGCCATGCTTCAAAGGACACAGAACACAATAATGCAACTGTCACTGAGCATTGTTTTCACTGTGCCCGAAAGGTAGCTATGAAATAAAAATACGAGTTTTCTGTCTATATCAAATTCTGTATCAGACACTATGTCACACTTTACATATAATATCTCCTTTAATCCTCACAACTCCACGAAGTAGGCATTACTAGCTTCACTCTCTTCTTACAAACAGATAAACTAAGGTCTAGAGAGGTTAAAGGTCACCCAGCCAGCAAAGTGGAGCAGACCATGCACCTACTTATGAATCCAATATTACCATATACCCTAAGTAACTGATGTCTAATTAAATTTCCAGTATCACAAAAGCTTGCCTTATTGACTGATTGCTCCATAACCTGTCTACATTCCACGTCCCAGGGATACCCCCTTCCAAATAACGAGGATCATGACTGGCAACTTTTCACTTGTTGAGCACGTTATTTACATTCTATTGAGGCATGATCTCTGTAATTATTGCTACAATATACAACATACAACCCTATGTTATAGATTTTGTTATTCCCAATTTACACAAGGAAAAACTAGCCTCAGAGAAATCCAGTAACTTGCCGGAGATAACACAGCTAATAAGTGACAGAGCCAGGACAGGAGACCAGGATGCCACAGCTGCACTGGCCGACTCCAAAGCTCGTGCACTATGAAGGCATAAAAAGCCCATGCACATTTTCCTAACGCAGACCCAGTTTAAACCCCTTCACCATCATGCCTTTCTTCTTGAGGGACCTTCTGTCTTTTCAAGTGACCCATGTGACTACTTTCTCTGAAAAACTAAACTAAGACTTACTATTTCCAGGAGGTCCTCCTGCCACCCCCAGTTTACCCTGCAGATTCTTTGGTCCTGATGGACACCAGTGGGCCTGAGCAATCCCCACTCTGTCCCCTCAGAGGTAGGTCAGCAACCAGGCCCCACATACAGTGAGAGGACAGAGGTGCCAAGCCCTGCCAGACAGGTCTTCAAATGGAAAGCAGAATTGGTGACCTATAAATAGCGACAAGGTGACGGAACACATGAACAAAGAGATAAGGGACAAATACTACAGATGTTTGAGAGGCTGGGTCTCCATTTGGAGTAAGAATAAAAAGAGCCCTGGTGAGACAGTGGTATCCGACAGAGAACTGGTGGGCCAGGCTGGGAAACCAGATAAGAATGCCCATGACAACTCAGAACCCACAGTAAACAGGCTGGGAACGAGGCTAAGCTGCTCTGCTACGCATGCAGCAGGCAGGGCTCAGGCATGGAGCTCGCAATGTACCTTTCAACTGCTCAGAGACCTTGAGCCAGGTCCTCCTTCTCAGCCCTACTTTGGGCAGGTGAAATTAACACATGATCACTACAAAATGAACGCACATCAGAAAGGGACTTACTGCAACAACAGAATTTCCTGCTTAGCCAAGTTCCCCAGCACGAATAGGAGACTTAAAGAAATACTTATTGAAAATGCAACTGTCTCAGTAAAACACATCCATTCCATACTGTTAATTACGAAATTGTGACGTTTCCTTTTTAAGTTGCATTCGTTATACATTTTTCTATGACTGCTTGGGTGTGCTAGTTTACATAAGAAAAAAAACGAAGAGTCCGAATAGAAGGTTTTATAAAATCTATCCTCAGATATTTGTTTAAATTTGTTCAGAGATATACATTTGGGTTTCTGTTGTACACTGTTAAGTTCCTACAAAGGAAGCGTTACGCAATGTTCTCATGCCTAAACAAAGCCCAGATAATTGTATATAAAATAACAGTAGATGATCCGGCCCAAATGCTACTGCCTCTAAGAATCTTTCCTTAATTTTCTACCCAGTTATTACTTTATTCTTATCTGTCATAGCAATTAGCCTTTTCTAACCTAATGTGTAATAATTTTTACCTTAGCCCATAAGGCGTACGAGAACATTAGTCCCTGGCACATAGTAGGTACCTAGACGATATGTAAAAAAGAAATTTATGTGATATTCTGCTTTCAAATTTAAGAATACTAAATATAATATTTGGATATGACATTGGTACTTGAAGGAATTTTTAATGGGACACACACATGACAAAAACCCTACCGAGGATTCATGAAAACATCACTAAAAAGAGGAAGTCAGATAACCCCTATATTTTCTGTAAGAAATTTACTTTGTAAATAATTGTGGCAAACGTGTGTCCAGAACTAAAGTTAAATTAGCCTGGTAGCTGCTGTCACTGGTGATAATTTTCTTAGCGCCAGGAAACTGGTGAGTATGTGATTAAATATGTTTCCCTCTTAGCTCCACCCTAGATGCTATCAAGTTTGCTAACCAGAAGGTTTTGCAGCTGACCAGCTCACACACCACACACACACACACACACACACACACACGCCCTAAGGAAACAAAACCAACTTACATAGCCACATTTTCAAGTTACGTATAATAAGTACACAAAAATTCTAAATCTCCAATCCCTATACTTTATACTCATTGTCTTCGCAATTCTGCACAAACAAATTTAAAGCACGGGAAGAAAATAAATCAACATTGGCCATTTTCATGACTCCAAACAGGTAAGTATTTTAAACTTTTAACTCCCGATGTCACTCAAGTGCTAACTAGCCTGTCAATTGATTCCAAGTTTCTAAACCATTCCTAATTACTGTTCCTAGACAGGCCCTGGGACTCTTTTCACCTTTGAACTGTTCTGCTACAAGAAGGGAGAAAGTATTTACAGGGAAAAAATGTCAGAACATAAAACACACAAAGACTTGCCAGACTTGCATTAGCATTTTTCTTTTCTAACCTCTATGCAAGTTCTGTGAAGGTCCAATAAGTTGATTCCTTTCATAAATAATTTTCCCAAAAGATACTATCTGTTTGGTAAAACAAGAAATCCCTTGCCCAGCGCGGTGGCTCACGCCTGTAATCCTAGCACTCTGGGAGGCCGAGGCGGGCGGATTGTTTGAGCTCAGGAGTTCGAGACCAGCCTGAGCA